AGTTAACACTCTATCTGCTTTGATTAGATTCATTGTTTCAATAAAAGATTCACCACTATTATTTAGAGTTTACCCCCCCCCCCCCCCCAAATCAGACATGCTGAAAAAGCATTGTGAAGTGATTTGCTTTCTACAGCTGGGTTCAAGAATTAAATGTTGGTTTTGGATTTCGGCTATTTTACCTATTGACCCTGGAAGCATTTCTACTGAAAGTCAGATAGTTAAGAAATTGGTTTCTGTGTTCTGGAGTCGTGGCCGTGCTGGAGAGCCACTCGCGGGGGGCAACCGGTGGCCTCGGTAGGGTGTGAAGGGCGGAGCGAAACGCCCCCCTTCCCATGAGGTTTTAGTCGCCCCCACACTCCCGGCTCATACCTGCTGTCCACAAGGCTCCCATGTGGCCGCCATCTTTCTTTCCAGAGAGGAGAGGGCGAATGGGACAACACCCTTTCCCCTCCAGCAGACTTGATGGGCTGGATCAATGCATAGTCCGTTCACTTTTCTGCTCCAAGCTGCTGGGTTCTGCATTAAGTCCTTGTGCTTCTGGGGCCATGGCCGTGCTGGAGAGCCGCTCGCGGGGGGCGACTGGTGACCTCGGTAGGGCGTGAAGGACGGACCGGAACGCCCCCCTTCCCATGAGGTTTTAGTCGCCCCCACTCCCCCGGCTCATACCTGCTGTCCACAAGGCTCCCATGTGGCCGCCATCTTTCTTTCCAGAGGGAGGAGGGCGGAAGGGAGCAACACCCTTTCCCCTCTGGGCAGAAATGATTGCCTGGCAACACCCTTTCCCCTCTGGGCAGAAATGATTGCCTGGATTAACGCATAGTCCTTTCACTTTTCTGCTCCAAGCTGCTGGGTTCTGCATTAGGTCATTGTGCTTCTGGGGCTGTGGCCGTGCTGGAGAGCCGCTCGTGGGGGCAACTGGTGGCCTCGGTAGGGCGTGAAGGACGGACCGGAACGCCCCCCTTCCCATGAGGGAAAACAGATTTTGAATATGATTAAATACTATTACCCATGTTGACATGCATTGGACTTTACTTAGTCAATGAAGAATACAAATTATTTTGAAAGTAGAACTTTTTTTCACAAATTGATCATATGTATTGTGCCATACAGCAAACTCTAATAATTTTCCTTAACATTTTTATAGAATCACTGTGAGATAGACCCTTAGAAAGCTGTTCATGATTGGATTTTAGTCACATAGTATTCCAACATCCATTCCTCCCTCAGTGTACATTTCCCAGCATTTGGTTTGCAGTGTTTGCAATATTGATACTGAAAGGTTATCAAGAATATTCTTTTAACCCTCAGATCTTGTTCAACTGTGATTATTCCCAACTGTGATCATTCCCAGCTATCTAATAAATTTTTAATGTTAGGAATTCTGTATTTTCTGTCCCCACTGAAATTTAGGAATCAGTAACCAAAGATAACTATCTTCTAGCTTCCTAAAAATGAAACAATACCTTATTGTTAAATCAGAGAAAGATAATTAGAAAAGTAAAATTAAATATAAATGGTAAAATTAGATATACTATAAATGGAATAATAATAAATGTTTATAGAGATGCTAAATTGAAGGAATGATGCATAGCTATTCTTATATCTCAAATTTCATATTGGAAGAGAAGAGGTCTGAAAATCTGTCTAGTTTTTAAACAAAAAAGAAAATTTAAGCCTAGTTAAAGAATAAGTGGGCATTAAGATTTAAAAAAAAATTCTGTATTAAAAATGAGCCATGTAGAGAGAGAAAAAGAGGAGTGGGAAAGAGCAAGGGACATCAAGCAAAGCCTAAACACTTAAAAATATTCTCTGAACAAGTTCATGGAATTTGGACATTTTGATAATGTGGACACATTTCTAGAACAATATAACTTACATGTTGAAATAGCAAAAATATATAATCAATTTTCCATATGAATAAAGAAGTTGAATTATTAAAGGAAAATCTGTAAAGAAATTTGGGTCCAGAATACTTCATCAGTTTATCCTACTAGATACTTAAGGATGTTATACTTGTTTTACACAAACTTCCAGAGAAAGGGATATTTGTTTATATATTTTTATAAATATGACACAAAACCTGAAGAACTTTAATAGGGAAGAAATATTTGCAGACAACTCTCACCATAAACATAGAAGCTTATTTCCTAAACACTATGGAGGCAAGTTGTCTTACCAAAAATTGCAAGAATAAAAGGATGGATAGTGAGGTTTTGGTTAGAAGACACTTTTTCAGTCACTTGCAATATTTGGGCTTTATTTATGTTCCATACAATTCAAATGCACGTTAAAATGATATAGCAGGTACCAGTAAAGTAATTCACCTGTAGAGCATTTGCCATACATGTAGAAGACTGTAGATTTGTTCCTTTCCAACACCAGAGAAAAAGAACATCAGAGAAAATTTTAATATAACTGAATATTTGCTACTATGGAATTTAGTTTTTATTTTTTTTAAGTGTGATGGTAGTATTGCAGTTATTTGTAAGTCCTAATTCTTGGAAAAGTGTATCTCATTTTGAAGTCATTGAAGTAATATGCTAAGGGGCCCGAGAAATAGTAAAGGGATTAAAGCACATGCCTTGCATGAGATAACCCTGATTTAATCTCCAGCACCACATATGGTTCCATGAGCTTCCCTGGGTATGGAGCCCTGTACTTCTTGAGCACTGTCAGAGTACTCTGGGAAGCCCTCAGCACAGAAGGGACCAAGCAGTATTATAATTATAATTCAGAAACATTACTTCTGAATGTTGTAATAGAGATACTTTCCTGTCACAGATATTTATGTTATGGTTATAACAAATATAGCTTTGTACTATTTTTTTTTAAAGCCTGTTTTCCTGTTACTCAGTCATCAGTTATCCTTTTAAATACCTATTTTCAGTGCCTTATTTGTTTATTTATTTACTTAATATTTTGAGGCTACGCCTGGCAGTGCTTCGGGGCAACTCCCCGGGCAGTGCTTTGAGACCACGTAGTGCTGAGGGGTGAAGTCAGGCCATCCATGCACTCTTGTCCTGTGAGCTATTTCCCTGGCCAAGTGCAAACATTTCTCATGAAGGTAGGAAACTTTTCAAAAACATAAAGATGTTACACAAACAAATAGTCTACATATAACACTATAAAACCAATTTATAAATATGCTAATAACATACTCTGCCCTAGTGCTAGTGTATCAAATGGGCCGTTCCAGTAAAAAGTTTTGATGACAAGCCCAGTTTCTTTATTGTTTTGTTTTGATTTGTTTTGTGCCACAAAACAAACTGAAGGTACTTGGGGTCTGTGCTTAGAGATCACTCCAGGTGGGACTCAGGAGACTGCTGGAGGCGGGGATCAAACCCAGGTCTGCCACGCTTAAGGCTCAGGAGCTTTACCTGGTGTATACTTCCTCATGCCCCAAGCTCATTTTCTTTGAATAGCAGCTTTCTAATCTACTTCTGGAAGTAGTATTATATCTTATAAAAACAGTCTGAGGGGTAATGATGAGAGTTTTAGCAGTGAAAAATTGTTAGAGAAGGAAAATTAGATTAAAACAACTCTAGAATCTCAGTAGTGTATGGCTTTTGAAATATGTTTTGGTTTCATTATGACTTTCTAACAAATGACAAGATTTTTTTTAGAAAAAATATGTTAGTCTATAAAAATCAATTTTTAAGTTTAAAAAACTATTTAGAAAATTACAATAAATAAAATTATAATGAATTACTTTTCTTTTTTTCATAATTAATCCTGTTACTTGCTTTTTTGTTGGTTATTCCGTTTTTTTCTCATGAAAATGAGCCTGTATGTATTTTTATTTTGGCAAACAAGGAATAATTCTTAACTTATTTTCATGTTATATTTTAGGATTCTGATTCAAATATTGAGCAGAATTTTTTATAAATATCACTGCAAATCTTATAAAATGATATGGCATATTTTTCTATATCAACCTCAAAATGAATAAGAGACTTAAAACAAGTCTTATCACTTAAGAAATAAGCAGTTTCTATTTTTGTTTACAAAATGAACTAGTTAGGCAGAAGAGTTATAAGCTGCTGCCTATTTTTAGAAATATGAATGTGTCAAGTATAATTTGGAACTCTTATGAGAAAATATAACTGTTGGATTGGACATAAAATACTTGGAAAATACAATTGAATTCTTAAAGCTAAAACAATTTCTCTGGAAGTGAATGACAAGTTAGTAAGTGGCTTACTGAGTTGAGGCTAAGCTGTGAGTACGACAGTCTTTTGGAACCTCCCTTTTGCCATATTTGTCTAATGTATCACATATCAGGTGGCTGATTACTATTTTCAGAAGCACTATTCAACAGTATTTGTAACTGAAATCCTACAGTTAACCTTTAGAAGATCAAAAGGAAATTTACTTATCAAAAAGGTGACCCAACTGTATATGTACTTTCTCTCTTTTCTTCTTTATTATTTGCATGTTTAGCCGCTCTTTATTTTTCATTTGTTGCATAGCGTAACTAAGTGTGCTTCTAAAGGTCAAATAATGTCATCTTAGCATGGGACACTAACACGGGTTTCATAGCATACCTGAATATTTTGAGTTATCTTAAAGGTTTTATTTAATAATCAGTGATATTAAGTTGATGCTAACTGAAATGATGTAGAACTTAATGTTTGTAAAGCTTTCTGCCCGAGATTAAGAACTAAAACGTAGGAATGTGTCTTTACTTTTAATCAGGGCCCTATTTACATTTAGGTGAACTTATCTTAAATATTGAAATGTATTTAATATTTATAATATACTAGAATGTCATCGTGTATCAGTAGAATGCTTTCCAAGCCATCTAAATGTTTTAATAGAATTTTTCTTACTTTATTAAATTTTAGAATTTTAGTTCTTATTTTTCACATATATTATTTTCTGTTAATGGTGTTATTGGAGATCTGCAGCTTCCTATGAGAAATTATTGCTGTCAAATATAGTAAAATATATTGAACTGGCTGGCATTAATTTACTTTCTTTATTTTGTTTTTTTTAAGGTGGTTGAACAGGGTATGTTTGTAAAGCACTGCAAAGTAGAAGTGTATCTCACAGAACTGAAGCTTTGTGAAAATGGCAACATGAATAATGTTGTAACTAGAAGATTTAGCAAAGCTGACACAATAGGTAATGTAACAACCTGTCACATAAAACTGTTACTATTAGAAATTTAATTATATTTCTGTTCATTGTATTTACTAGAATGATAGTCACTTTAAGGATTTATACTTAAACATTACAGATTTACAGGGTAGGTGCTTAATTATTAGTATTAACTCCATGTTACTAGGTGAGTTTAATATTTGTGCCATTTTACTTTATCTTGATACATAGATTTGTTAAATTTAGCATTTGGATAATGTGTCACCTTTAAAATGTTAATATAAAGAAGAATTTTAAAGACTTGCTTAAATAAAATTTAGTAATACATAAAATTCCTTTAATAGTGTTTATGCTTAGCTTGGAAAAGTGGCAATTGCTTATTTGCTTCCCCCCCTCAATTTTTTTGGTCTTTAATGCAATAAAGTAGCTTTTTAAGGCAGTAAGCGTGCCTTATTTTGACATCCTTTTCTCATATAATGAGTTGGCTTGAAATTTTAAGTTTTAGATACAAGTGTACCTAACTCTATATATGATGTAGGTACATATAAAATATATAGAATTTTCAATTCTTTATAAAGGTTACATTTTAATTTAAGGCGAGTAAATAAAAATAATGAATAAAATATAATGAAATTGCAGGTCTTTTGATAAGAAGCTTGAAATAAAAATTGCAAAAAAAACAATATCAATTGATTACAAACCCTGGGTACTGAATTACAGAATGGAGGATGCCAGGTTGAGGGGTTGGGGGTGTGGGAGAGGGGGCCATGAAATGAACTAGAGGTGACACTGGTGCCTGGGCAGGCCTTGGGCACTTTGGTAGTGGTAAGGTAGAGGCAGGACATGATCATAAACGTCAGCACAGTTGTAAACAACTTACGTAAACTATAATAATTGAAGATGAAGGAAAACAATGGCGATGGGTTGTAGACCCTTTGCTTGTGATAACAATAGCAATAAAGCTGTTGAAGACAAGGATTAATGGTAATAGCATTGGTCTTAATGGAAAATGTAAGTAAGCAGAAAAGAAGGACAGAGTACTTAATGCAGAACTCCTCAGCACCAACTAGATTAGCAGATCTGTGAATTACAGCATTGCAGAGGCTTCCTTGTTGGAGTTCAGCAAATTAAGTTCATTTTAGTTAAAGTATTTCTGAATTTCATAGGTACATTTGAGTTTCATTATTAAAAGCAGGCAAGTGACTTAACCAATACTTTTCACTAAATCAATGCCATTTTTCATTGCTGAGTTCATTAATAATGCATTATTTCTAGTAATACATATGAATTTTCCGTTTTTAGTAGGGAAAAGCACACCTGGTGGTGCTTAGGAGATATTTCCAGCTTGGTGCTTGGGGATTGCTACCAAGCTAGCTTAGGGCACCATGCACTCATCTGTTTAGCTATCTCCCTATGTGTGAATTTTTTATTTTCCTTCTCTTTATGTTGAACACTTAAAAGTTTGAGATCCAAATTTAGTAAACCCATAGCCATCTTTCTAAAACGAATTCTTAAAATTTGGAAATTGCACATATAAATGTCATTTTGTTTAGGATAAATGTAAAACATTCAGGAAAATTTAACATTTTCACATATGAAAACAGTTTTCAGTATCACACTACGCTAACCATGATAGTAAAATGTATACAATAAGAATCTATAAGATTGAGCCAGAGAGATAGTACAGAGGTTAAAGTGCTTATCTTTCTTTAGTTTTAGGACTAAAGAGAATGTGATAGAAAATATTCAGAGTAAAAGATATATATGGTCACAATTTCTTAATCTTCGTTTTGAAAGTTTGAATGTCTTTCAGTTCAAGTTGCAAAAATTAAAATTGATCACCATTTTAGACACTTCATATTTAAGGTTACCATCGTAGTTAACAATTATTAAGTATTTACTAGGTTTTAAGCAGTTTATATTTTGAAAGAATCTTAAACACAACATTGTGTTCACATTTTATAGATGAGGAAATTAGCGCTTAAAAATGTTAAATAATCTGCCTATATTACCAAGCAACTGAGATAATGTTTTAACTGCATAACTCTTTTAGTAGCATTTTATCTCATAATTGCTGCCTTAACTATCTGCACTTGCATTCATATAGTGTGTGTGTGTGTGTGTGTGTGTGTGGTGTGGTAGTGGGGAGGTTCATGGGAAGAGGGTGTGTTATGACTGTCTTCTGGCTCTGCACTTAGATATTACTCCAGGTGGTACTTGGGGGACCATGTGGGGGTACTAGTGCAGGGGATTGGATCCGGGTCGACCATATGCAAGGCAAGCACCTTACCCATTGCATTGTTATCCCCAGCCCTCACATTCATTGGTTTTATTTTTCTAAAGGAAATTAATTTTGGAGCAACAATTTTGGTAAGATAGGAAATAGAGGTTGTATATTTTTTCTGTCTTAAAAATCTTGACTAAAATGAGCAAAATAACATACGTAATACACCTATATAAATACAAATAAGAACAGGAGGTGTAAGTGCCTGTTTCTCTTGATACCCAATTAATAACTCAATTTTCAACTAGTACTACCTATATTGTTTTTAGTAAAAATAATATAGACATAGGAAAGATACACATTTATTAGAGAAAAAATACTTAGCTTTGATTTTCCCCCTAAATTGATCTATTTAGGCATAGAACATGTCCAATAAAATAAAATTAATTTTTAAAGAGATTCTTCTGCAAACACAAATTTTTGGTTTAAAACTTACTAAAAATGCTTTGTTTCTAAAACTAGTAGTAGAATTTTTTCTTAGATGTTCCTATTGTTTGTCACAATTTATTTCTGTTTTTTTTTTTTTTTGTATTTTTCTACTCTTTGCTTTTCAGTCCTCCCACAAAGGGTTTATCCTATGTCAAACTATGCGTGCCTTGAGATTTTGAGCTCAAAGTATTTTGATTTACTACCTCAGCTACCAGTTCCTCTTGGATGACCCTAGATAATCATTAACTGAGTTGCGATTGCCAAATTTCAGGTTGAAAATTCTGATTATCTAGTCTGTTTTTTGGCTTCCATTCTCACTTCAGCTCACTATCTCAGATATTTAAGCCAGCAAGAAATACTGACACTACTTCTGTCTTGGTCTCTGATGACATCTACATTGCCAAAATTAGTGGTAATTTTGAAGTCTTTCATGTTTTAAATATGCCAGCAAAATTATGTTAACTTACCCATTTTTCCATCCCGTTCTTATCACTTGATTAGCATAGATCCAGTTTGCGTTTCCTAAAGATCTTCATAATCCTAAACTTGAAACATTAGACTACTCCATACTTAGTTCTTCTATTTCCTGTCCTTCCCTTGGTGGTACTTACTAGTGTCCTGACTTTAAATAATGAAGATTGATGTCTTTTTAACTTCTATCTCCTACCAAAAGCTTTTCCTTAATTTCAAATATTATGTATCTTCACTTATGTACCTGATAAGAATCCCAAAATAATATAGAAACCGACCTGTTCCCCTTCTTATTCTCCAGTCTGCGACCTTGTTATTCTTTCCAGTCTGATTAACTTAATTACTTACATGCATCTTCCCAATCATTCAGTTCCAAACCATTGTTTCTTTCTAATATTTTTTTTCCACCCCACATGTCATCTGGCAGCATGTCTTAAGAATTCCTTCAGAATCTTGTCTCAGTCTGTCTAGTTCACTTCCATTGCTCCCACCTTGGTTTGAATTACAACAATAGCAGTAGCAGTTGTCTTGCAACCTTGAATATCCTACAGTCTGTTTTTCATTAGCAGTAAACATATTTAAAATGTCAGAGCATGAAACTACTCTGTTTAAACTTCTCATTGACTGCTACCTCTCTTAGAATGAAATAGAACACTTTTTATAACTTGATTCTACCCAAGTATCTTTGTGATCTCATTTCTAACTTGGATTATTCCACTTCAGTTACCTTGAGGCATCATGCTGTTCTAAAATATGCCAAATACATTCCTAGCTTAGGACATTTTTTTTTCCCTCTTTCCTACTTGAAATAGTCTTCTGCCATACATGAATAGATTGCAAAACTCCATGAAGAGGAAATGTTTGTATATAGAGGAGTATTGATACTTAGGTGGGGAGCATGATGTGATAGCATACGTTTTTTAAGAGGTATGAACTTGTACCCCCAAAACAAAGTGGGGGGGAAAAACTATTTCAATTTTAAAAAGAAAAAAGAAACCAGCCAGAGATGGTATAGAAGTTAAAAAGCTTTCCTTGTACATTGCCAACCCTGGTTCAGTCCCCAGCACCATATGTAGTTTCTCAAGTACCATCAGGAGTGATCCTTGAACAAAGCCAAGAGTAAAGCCTGAGCACTGCCATGTATGGTCAGATCTCCCTCTCCCCACAATAAAAGCGAAAGAAAAAAGAAACAAACTCAACAACAAAAAATTGGAAGGAGAAAAATTCAGTCTCACTAGTCATGTATGAAGCACAGTTAAATCTAATGTTAGACCTAAAAAAAAAACATGCTGATTAACTACAAGACAAAACTACAAGACAACTATAAATCATTAATTGTTAAGTGGTATATAAACAGTATCATTTTTGTTTATTTGGGATTTGGGGTTACACATGGATATATTTGAAGTCTATTATACTTAATTATATTCAAAGGGCATTGACTTTTGCATTTTTTCAGATGGCATATTATTAGACTTAGTAATTTTTAAATAATTTTTCTCAAAAATAAGTATTCTAAATTTGAGATAACATATTTCTTTATATTCCTAGGATATTTTGATTAGTGTTTGAAACTTATTTAGCAGAATTAGATATATTCAATAGTGGTTTTCTAATACCTTTGTAATATTTGAAAATATTATTTTAATTTAGTTACATTAAAACATAAATAGAGCCAGAACAATAATATAGCAGGTAGGGTGCTTGCCTTGCTTGCCTACTTGGTGTGGCCCCAAAGCTAGCAAATAAACAAACCCCAAAACAATAAAATTTAATTGTTGGGCCGGAGCGATAGCACAGCGGGTAGGGCGTTCGCCTTACAAGTGGCCAACATGGCCGACCCGAGTTCGATTCCTCCGCCCCTCTCGGAGAGCCTGGCAAGCTACCGAGAGTATTCGATATGCCAGACACAGTAACAACAAAGTCTCCAATGGAGACGTTACTGGGCCCGCTCGAGCAAATCGACGATCAACGGGAGGGCCTTTACCTTTTTATTCTCACATACTATGGATACTCCAGTCTTATTTTATAGTAGACTAAGCTGCTCAGTTTTTTTTAAAAAAAAAGACATCTATTCATATAATCTGTTTAGAAACAAGGATAATAGATTATTTTACCATGAAAATAAGAAATTCTGATCAGTACATACATCCTTTCAAAACAGGTACTTTTTTTGTTTCCATATACTCAGTTTAATTTTAGGTAGGTTTTCAAGCTGTGAATTATATTGAGTTTAATACATACTATTCTTAAATTGGTTATGCTCTAAGAGCATTTTTAAAATCTGAGTCAAACCTTTACAAATGTGTTCATTTTTATAATTTAGTACAAAGATCATCCTGTATTATAGAAATTACACTTTAGTGCTGTGTTTCCCAAAGTGGGTGACACCAGCCCCCAATCCAGGTGCTAGAAAGATCCAAAAGGAGCAGTAGTAATTTTGGGCACAATTGCGGACCACTTCCTATTTGTTCACTTCAAGAAAGATTTTCAGAGAAATGCTAAGTAGTTTTGTTCTAGCGAGGGACAGACAGTAGGCCAGATCAGTTACACTCTTGCTTTACTGTTACTTGATTTTAAACTCTTACCTTTGAGGTCTTAATTTTTCCAAGTTACTGTCAGAGTTATTGCAATTATTTTTTCTATAAAGAACACCTGGTCTTATAAATCTTTATTGATTTTTAAAAAATAAAATTTACATTATTTCCTACTTGTTCATCCAGTCTTGTTCTTATAGTCGTATTTTAAATTCAGGATTTTTATACTGATGAGCAAAAAATACTTTGTATGGTATATTTTTAAAGTATTGATATTTATATATCTTTCCTCCTTAAATCTAGATACAATTGAAAAGGAAATAAGAAAAATCTTCAATATTCCAGATGAAAAGGAGACGAGATTGTGGAACAAATACATGAGTAATACATTTGAGCCACTGAATAAACCAGACAGCACTATTCAGGATGCTGGTTTATACCAAGGACAGGTATTGTTTAGCAACGCTATTTTAAGCATACTATACTTGGGAGTTCTTTTTTTGATTCACAAATTTTGTGAATATTTTATCATTCTATAGTGAGTTCTTTTGTTTCTGGCTTCCTCTAACTCATCTATTCCCTATGCCTGCTGATCAGTAACTGTAACTTACCCTCTGCTTTCCTCATTTAAGAATAATCTGATTAACACCAAAATGGCTAATATAAGATGGATTGGCAAACCTCTTTGAACATCAAAGAGTGAATATATTTGGCTCAGCAGTCTATGATCTCTGCCACCACTCTAACTTTGCCATCATAGTACCACAAAAATAGCTGGAATGATACATAGAGTGGACGTAGCTTTATTCCAACAAATTTTATTTACAAAAGCAGGCAGTGAGCTAAGTAAATTGGAGTTTGCCAAGCCCAGCCAGATACTATTAGCCCCCCTGGTTGGTCTTAGTGGTATCTGAAGAAATTCATACGGTGAGAAATGAAGAATTCTAGAGACAACTTGCAATTCCTGTTGATTTTACCTTTTAAATATTTCTTTAATCTATTCCACTTCCGACCTTTACCTGTTAATAGTCTCCTTCACATTTCTCAGCTTCCAATCCTTTGTATGTCTACTCTTTGGTATTTCTGTTAAAATTCTCCTTCTAAAATGTAAGCGTTGCTATTTTCCATACTTTTCTGGTTCATTCAAAATTGCAGAATAAAAAAACCAGGCACCTCAGCACAGCACACAAGTCAACCTTTTATCTAATCTTCTAATCTCCTAAGATTATAATCCTTACTATGATATACGTAAATCCTTCAACTGCATACAGTTCCCTAGACATGCTTTCTTTTTGCACATTTCTGTGCATTCATATGTCATTTTATCTGCTAGTCCTGATTTTATCCTCTTTATTTGATTCATCCAGTAAAAAGTCCTTATAAACATTAAAATAGCAAATTAACCATCCTGTCCAATCAAGATATAAAACAAATAAAATTATTCATACTTTAAATTCCAACTCAAATGTTACATCATCTCTTCAGCATTCCTTCATCTATTTTTCTCAATTGTCATTTTGAACTATAGTACTTTTCTACTTTAGAGGAAAAGAATTACTCCTTCAATTTCTATTGTGATATACAATATGGGCTTTTTTTGGTATCATTTGTTATATGCCTTACATAGTTATTCAGATATTTATTTACATAGTTATTCATATATTTAGCTCTCTTACAAAAACAGTAACAACAAATCTCACAATGAAGGCATTACTGGTGCCCACTCAAGGAAATCGATGAACAACAGGAGGACAGTGCAACATTAAACTGTGAGGTTATTGTTTTGGTTGGACTTTTTGTTGGAAGGGTTCTTTTGAAGGTGTGTTCTATTTTGTTTTAAATTACCATTGGCATAATAATATAATACTAAGTTTCTAAAATAAAAAAATCAGAGGACGATTAAGTCTTAGTAAATTCCTACTTGATGTCATTTGTTGTAAAGGCTACAAAGACAGTAACATTCAGGAACTGGGGATATGTACAGGCTCAATGGTAGAGCACATCTGTGTGCCTGATGGCCTGTGTTTTCCGTGGATAACCCCCGTCAGGCTTTGAAGTAGTTCCAGAAGTACAATTTAAAAAGTATAAAATTATCTCTTGAATATTGAATTTATGTAATGAATATTATTCTACCTAATATATACATTAGAAAATTGAAAAGATTAGAGAACTTGATTTGACATTCGAGACAGAGATTCATTTATCATATAATGGGAAAGATTAAATGTATGTAATGATCTTTTGATGTAGTAATGAATGTTTCACAGACTGTATTTTCTAGGTTTTGTAATACTTTCTGATTGTTAATTAAATCATTAACTAATTTTGTAAGTTTTGTTACTAAATTTTAAGTTTCCTTTTAAGAAAGTGAAACAGATTATTAAAGAGTTTGCCTCTCAGAATGAGTGGTCTTTGTCTCTACCGCGTTTGTGTGTGTGTGTGTGTGTCTGTCTGTCTGTTATGTATGTACTAAATTTATTCACATTTTGAAACCTTTCTATAAATGTTTATTGGCAAGATAAAATTTTAATCATGAGCAAAGTTTTACTTAGGAAAGGATAAATTTCAGCATACTTGAATGCCTTCAACATTAATATCTGTGATTGTAAACTCATATGTAATTTCAAGTGCAGATATTGTTAAGAGTTAAGTTATTGCAGTTAAACTTTAATTACTCAATTCTCCAGTTTAGTGTCTTGCTTCAAGAGCCTGTAAACAGTGATACTAATGTATAACTCTGAAATTTTCTGTAGCTACGATCTTGCTTGTTAATCAGTTATAATATACTCATTTATATTCAATTAAAATAAAATGTATAAAATACATTAGAGATTGTTTTTCTTTAGGAGTTCCAAATCACTAATTTATAAAAATATATAAATATGGGACTGTTAGAATTATACAGGAAATTGAGAATAATGATTAGTTGGAATGGTTAGAGAAAGGAATATGATTAGAGAAGAATCAAATTATTGGTTCACAGTAGCACTTATTTATATGCTACATAAATTCTGTCTTATTAATTTTAAAGACAACTCTAATATTTTAAATACATGCTCTCAGTAACCTGGCTTAATATCTTAAAATCATTGTTTTGTTGTTTGTTGTCACTTAAATCACTTAAGTCACTTAACTTCCCGTTAGTCGTCGATTTGCTCGAGCGGGTGCCAGTAACGTCTCCATTTGTCCCTGTCGCGTGCTAGTGTAGCCCAATGGCATCTGTTCGCTTTGGGATCATGAAGAGCCTCAAACCGATCGTTCATGATCTTGACAAAGAAGTCTGACCATCTGGTAGGTGGGCGGCCACGCGGTCTCTTGACATCCCGTGGAATCCAATCAGTAACAGCTCTAGTCCAGCGGTCGTCTTTAAATCTCATTACGTGACCAGCCCATCTGATTTTTGACACCTTGGCAAATGAGACAGCGTCCCTGATTCTTGATCGTCGACGGATGTCGGAACTCCGGATTTTTTCTCTCATTTGAGTGAAACGTGATATTCCAAGCATAACTCTTTCTATTCTTCTTTGGGAGACCTGAATAGTGTTCTCATCTTGTTTGCATAGGGCCCAGGTCTCTGAGGCATATGTTAATGCAGGAAGAACAGTGGAATCAAAGAGATGTGCCCGGAGCCGGAGGTTCTTCGTCCTCTTAGCTATTTCTTCGACGTTCTTGAAGGTGTTCCAAGCTGCTCTCTTCCTCCTGTGCAGCTCGGGTGCCAGGTCATTTGTCATGTTGACTTCTCGACCTAGGTACACATAGCTGTTGTATTCGGAGATGGTCGTTCCATTGAGAGCGAATGGGGCGTCAGGAACAAGGCTGTTTCTCATAAACATTGTCTTCGTAAGATTCAGCTGTAGTCCTACCTTTCCACACTCATGGTCAAAGTCGGCCAGCATTTGTGCCGCTTGGCTGATGTTTGGTGTTATTAAAACAATGTCATCAGCAAAGCGGAGGTGGTGTAATTGCCGACCATCTATCTTCACTCCCATTCCTTCCCATTCCAGTCGTTGCATGATGTTCTCGAGGGTGGCACTGAAGAGTTTCGGCGAAATGGTATCACCCTGCCGAACCCCTCTCCTGACATCAACAATCACTTCTTTGTAGAATGGTGAGATCCTGGTAGTGAATCCGCAATACAGCTCACGGAGGATCTTGATGTATTGGGCTTGAATGCCCTGATTTGCTTGAATGCCCTGATTGCCCTGTCTGCTTCCATCAACCACCCAGGGATCGGATTGCGCACAGAAGACCCACCCTACCCAGATAAATACCCCACTGGCAGACTTCCACTATCGACACTACCTCCACTACACAGCCGTCGCCACACTTCAGGACGCTTTCCGGACCCGCGTGGCAGCTCCGGTTAAGAGCATAATAACAGCTTATAAGTGGACCTGAAGAATATAGTCATCAAAGTCCTCTTTATTTTGTCTTAATGATTTATACCTGCTTTTCAAAAATTAATTTATTGAATTATGTGAATTACAAAGCTAGAGAGTTATTCATGTTTGAGTTTCAGAGATACAGTGAGTACGTGTCCCTTCACCAGTGTCCACTTCCCTCTACTAGTGGCCCCAGTTTTCCTCCTTCCCCCCCACCTAGGAATTTTTTTTTTTCATATTTTTCCTGTGTAGGTACTAAGGTTTACAATTACTGGTACTGAGGTTAACCATACTGTTACTAATAGAGTATCATGCATATCATTTTACTTATTTTCAGAACCCAGTCCTTGCCCACTTCTCTCTGTTATGGTCATAGTGGGGCCACTTCCCTGACCTATTCCGCTATCCCCACAGTGCTAAGCTTCCTACTAAAGACCAATTCTTCCGCCCTTCTTTTCCATTGACTTTGGGCATTAGTTATTCTGCTATTATGTTTCTTTATAGCCTGTAGATGAGTGAGATCATTTCTTTCCCTCTCCCTCTGCTTCATTTCACTTACTATCATACTCTCCAGGTCCATCCATGTAGCAACAAATTTCATGACTTTTTCTTTTCTTTTTCCTTTTCGGCTTTCGGCCACAACCAACATGCTCAGAGCTTGGTTATTCCTGACTGCACTTGGGAATTACTCCTGGCAGGCTCAGGCGACCACAGGGGATAGCAGGGATCCAATCCAGGTTGCCACGTGGTAGGCAAATATCCAACCTGATGTACCATCACTCCAGCCCACTGACTTCATCTTACCTAATGGTCTCATGGGCTGGAGCGATAGCACAGCGGTAGGGCGTTTGCCTTATAAGCAGCCAACATGGCCGACTCGAGTTCGATTCCTCCGCTCCTCTCGGAGAGCCCGGCAAGCTACCGAGAGTATCTCGCCCTCATGGCAGAGCCTGGCAAGCTCCCTGTGACGTATTCAATATGCCAAACACAGTAACAACAAGTCTCATGATGGAGACGTTACTGGGCCCGCTCGAGCAAATCGATGAGCAACGGGAGGATCGTGACTGATTGTGACTGAATGGCCTCATGGTACTCCATCATGTATTTGGACCATAGTTTCTTTATAGAGTCATCTGTTCTTGGATTCGTTAGCTTTTTTCTGACTTGCAACTCCATATGTGGCCATGTGTCTTTTAAAATCTTTGCTGTAAAATAAATTTCTTTATGATTTATTATCAATAAGTGTTTGATTCATATACTTATTTTATATACCTGTAGGGCTGGAGCGATAGCACAGCGGTAGGGCGTTTGCCTTGCACGCAGCCAACATGGCCGACCCAAGTTTGATTCCTCCGCCCCTCTCGGAGAGCCTGGCAAGCTACCAAGAGTATCTCGCCCGCACGGCAGAGCCTGGCAAGCTCCCCGTGACGTATTCGATATGCCAAACACAGTAACAACAAAGTCTCCAATGGAGACGTTACTGGGCCCACTCGAGCAAATCAATGATCAACGGGAGGGCCTTTACTTTTACTTACTTTATATACCTGTATACCCTAGATTGTGTAAATGTTTCTTGAATGGAATCTTTTGCACCACAGTACATTACCAAGAACATGTAGAACAGGTTGTAGAATTGTAACTATAAGAAAATTTATTGAAACTGAATATATGTGGAATGTATTAAAACTTTAATACCTTGAATTTACCTCAAGTCATAATTTCTGTTTTACCAAGGAAATTTAGCTTGAGGAATTCAGCTTGAGGTGATCATTTATTTCTTCTGCTAATTTTCATTTATGCCTAGTGTTTCTTTACACAGACTCACCTGCAGAAAGAACTAAAAGAAAGGCTCTATTTTAGACTGGAAGGTTTTGAGATCTTTTAAAATAAAAGTATAGTTCTTCCTCTGCTTGAGGGTTTTCTCCCTTCCTTGCAGAGCTTTGTAATCAAAATACAAAAACCTCTTCACCTTGCCTACCATGTTATTTAAATGTATTCTTTTTTTTAAATTTTATTTTATTATTTATAAAGTAGTTCACAATCAGTAGTTGGTTTCTTACTGTACACAGCTAAACTTCTAAAGGTGTTTTGACTTCTGCTAAAAAACAACCTTTTGTTGTGTCATATTTGCAGGTGTTAGTGATAGAACAGAAAAATGAAGACGGAACATGGCCAAGGGGTCCTTCTACTCCTAAGTAAGTGCTCCCAATTTTTTTTTATGGCTTATAACATGATTTTTGAAGCCTTCGATGCCAGGTAATAAAATCTAGAATGACTTTTTTTTTTTTAAAAGGCTATGCTGGAGTGCTGGAGATATATGTATATTTGTATTTAAGTATTTTGTTCTCAGTATAGAAGGCATCTTAATTTACACTCGAAATAGGTATCAGTTCTAATCTTGTTTAAAGTAAGATGCAATATAAGTGTTATAAATGTCTTGGTACAAATAACTTCTAAACATTTAAGGATTTTTGAAGAATTTTGTGAATATTTTTAGAGTATTAATCTGACAAAATGAATTTGATTGGAAAGTCATTTAAGTGTTTTCAAATAGAAAGGTCATATAGAGATAAAGTAGTGTAAGAGCTTCAGATATTAATTGCAGAATAAAACAAAGAAAAACCTTTTAAACTTAAAAAATATGATAAGAACACAACTTGGTATTATATCCTATAACAAATTCATAAGTGCAAAATAGTGTTGTTCCTCAAACCCACTTTGTTCTACAGCAGGTCTGTCAGATCTTCTTGTTTTACATGACTGAAAGCTTTATTTCCATTAAGTAGTAACTCTGTATTTCTCCCAACGCTCAGACCCTGGATCTACCATTCTACTTTTAGTCTCTAAGAATTGGACTCCTTTACTATCTCCCATCTATTCTCTTAGAAGCTTGAGTAATATTTTATTGCATGTATATATCACCTTTTCTTTTTCTCCCTTTGTACGACAGCATTTTGAGCATTCCTTATACCTTGATGTCATGATTAAACTGCATTCAGCACAGGAGTACTGGAATTTTTTTTTTTTTTTTTTTTTTTTTTTTTTTTTGCATAACAGCTGGCAATGCACTGGGTTTACTCCTGGCTCTGCACTCAGGAATTACTCCTGGCAGTGTTCAGGGGACCATATGAGATGCTGGGAATCAAACCCGGGTCAGCCGCATGCAAAGTAAACACCCTACCCCACTTGTACTATCACTCCATCCCAGTACTGGCATTTCTTGAAGATACTGATTTCAGTTCCTTTGACTTTTAACTCAAAAATATATCTAGTTCAGGGGGCTGGAGCCATAGCACAGCGGGTAGGGCATTTACCTTGCACACAGCAGACACAGTTTGATTCCCAGCATCCCATATGGTCCCCTGAGCACTGCCAGAAGTAATTCTTGAGTGCAGAACCAGGAGTAACCCCTGTGCATTTTTGGGTGTGACCCCCCCCAAAAAAAGCATAATACATATATATGTATATATATATTTCATATATTCTATTTTAGTTCTATTGTTACTTAATTTTTTAAAGGGACCTCCTACTGTTTTTCATAGGAATTGCACCATCTTGTATTTCTACCAAAAACATGCAGGGGTTCCACTTTCTCCTTTCCTAAAAACTAGCACTTGTTATCGTCTGATGGCAGACACTTCAGCCATTCTAACAGAGGTGGTCTCGTGTCGTCTTGATTATATTTTCCCAGTGATTGTTGATGTGAATAAGCATCTTTTATATACCTGACCATTTATTTGACTTTGGAATATTGTCTGTTCAGATCTTATGCTCATTTTTTAATTTTTTATTTGTTTTGCTTTTGAGTTGTAAACTTCTTACTATAGTAACCTACTACCAAGATATATGAATTATTGATTTAAATCTAAGCCCTAAAACAAATTATAAAACAAGGGTAAAAACTTCATGACCAAAAAAAAAAAGACTTAATGACATTCACATAGACAATGATTTTTTGGTATGATACCAAAAGCACAAGTTATAAAAATTATATGCATATATCACGCTGTCACTGTCCTCCCATTGTTCATCGATTTGCTCGGGCAGTCCCAGTAATGTCTCCATTGTGACCCTTGTTACTGTGTTTGGCATATCGAATATGTCACGGGTACCTTGCCAGGCTTTGCCGTGCAGGCGAGATGCTCTCGGTAGCTTGCTGGGCTCTCCAAGAGGGGCAGAGGAATAGGACCTGGGTCGGCCATGTTGGCTGCGTGCAAGGCAAACGCCCTACCCGCTGTGCTATCGCTCCAGCCCATGCATATATAAATATATATATATATATTTGCGAATATATATATTTATATGACTAAAAGTTTCCTCAGAAAAGGAAGCAGACAACAGTGAAAAACAACTTACAGAATGGGAGAAAAATGTTTTTTAAAGCATTGATGAGAGTCATAACCAGGACCTCAGACCATGCCAGGCAAGTGTGCTGCTATTAAGCTTGATCTTTGGAGAAAAAATTTTTAATGGTTTTAGGACTGTAAGATTCACAATATTATCAGAACACTGCCAATTACAGTTCAGTACAAGCTGAGTTATAGCTATAGAGGAAAGGAAAATGCCTTCAGTTGTTAATACATGTTTTAATTCATTGTTCTTAAAACATGTTTCCTGAGGCTCCATCCCCCAAATTTCTGAATCACATCTTGTTAGTTGGGTTCATAGATTGCTCTTCAAATAAGGCCAAGGCTGATTAAAATGCTGTTAGTATAAGGAACACATGAGAAATCCTGTCATTAAAATTTCTTTGTAGGCGCTCTGTGACTTAGGCAGTAGCTTCCAGGGTCCTCGTCCATGATCAGTCGAATATAAAATTTATTTTAAGTCTGTGACTTACCTCTCTGTACTATCAGCAAAAGAATGTAAGAACACCTGCAGTAGATGTATATGTGCTAAGAGAAAGCATGTTAGTATCTCTTTTGTCTTTGCAAACCACTGAAAACAGAAGCTTAAATATTTTGAATATTTTTAAATGTACTAAGACCCATTTGATGAAAATTGATAACTGTATACTTCTCTGAAGCACAGGTTTTGGCCTTACTGCAAATATGAAAGCATTTTAAAACAGATAGTCTATACTTATAAAAATGTACGTACCCTAAAATAACAACAGAAATCTGTATTAGAGGGAGTCTGACTCCTGGATGGGGGCAGAACCAAGAGCGGGGTAAAAAAATTGTATTTGAAATGTAAAAACCTATCAAAGTTTTCTACCTGGATTTTTCTGTCAAGCATCAATATGTAAACTAGATTATTTTCGTTTGTTTGTGGGCTACACTAAGTGATTCTCAGGGCTTACTCCAACTCTGATCAGGGATTATTCCTAGCAGCCTTGTGGGGGACCATATGGTGTGTTGATGATTGAACCCCAGTGAGCTGCATGCAAGGCAAACTCCCTACCCACTGTACTGTGCTCTGTCCCATAAATGGAATTTTTTATGTTTATGCTTATGCTATATTTTAAAGTACCAAAAGGCTTAAGTTTTGTTCAAGTCTTATATTCCTAATCTAGTCTTTAAATATTTGTTAAAACCTCTAACACAATCTTTTCTGATACCATAAAAAAATTTTAGTCCCTCTAAATTTTTTTTATTCTTGTAAATTTAGTCATTTATTTTCTAGAGATTGATATTTATGGGGTTTTTTTCTGGATAGTCTTAATTATTCAATTTTATTTTGACATTTGGCCATTTATTTTCTAGCAATAATAGAAATTTTATGTATCTGTATCTGTTGGATAGTCTAATTATTCAACTAAAAATGTGTTGCTCGTTAACCTTTTTACTTCAAAAATTATTTTAAAGTAGAAATATATATATACTTATATATATGCGTGTATATGTATATATAACTACCTTTCCAGCCCTTCAAAAACAGTGATAAAAGACATTTAGTTCAATATTGCATTAAAAAAGTAAAGAGTCATTGACGATTGTGAAGAGACAGTTTTCTTGGGTTAGAAGCACTGTAGCACTGTCCTCCCATTGTTTATCAATTTGCTCGAGTGGGCCCAGTAACATCTCCATTGTGAGATTTGTTCTTACTGTGTTTGGCATATCAAATATGTCATGGGGAGCTTGCCAGGCTTTGCAGTGTGGGCCAGATACTCTTGGTAGCTTACTGGGCTCTCCGAGAGGGGGGAGACGGAGGAATCCAACCCAGGTTGGCTGAGTAGGCCGCATGCAAGGCAAATGCCCTACCCGCTGTGCTATCGCTCCAGCCCCAAGATCAAAATTAGAATACATTTATTCAGTCACCTCTATAAAATTAGAATCTGATTCTTACAGAAAGCAAGTTACAGAAATATGGTTTTCTCTCCACCTTCATTTTAAAACTTTGCCAAATAGCTTAATAAACCTGACTTGTTCTTTTGCATAAACACAGCAAGATTAGAGAACTCTCCATTTGGGATATCCCATTATTTACTGCAAAGTCCTGGGGTCGGCTAAAGACAAGAGACACACCAATAACGGCATTAATCTTATCTGGCACATCAGGGTTACCCAGGCCTGGCCATAAGATGTCCCGCGACGAACTGGATGGCCTCGAGCCTTCAGGTTGAACTGGATGTGGCTTTGGGCCTTATTTTCCACAGAGACGTTTTGGCAGAAAGGAGTCCATCCCTTCTCTCTTCAGGGCTGGGAGAAATCCTGGGTTAGAAAGGATTTAGAAAAGAATCCAGCATCAAAACTGAAGTAGCACAAGTGAAAAACTAAGCCAGTAGTTCTCTCTCTCTCTCTCTCTCTCTCTCTCTCTCTCTCCCTCCCTTCCTCCCTCCTTCCATCTCTCCCCCCTTTTCCCCCTTTTTCTTCCCCCCTCCCTCTCTTTCCCTCTCCCCTCTTTTCCCCCCTTGCTACCTACCTGACAGTGCTCATGGCTTATTCCTGGCTCTGCACTCAGAGCTCCTGGCAGGGTTTGGGCACCATATGTGTGTCAGGACTTGAACCCATGTTCGTGGCATGGAAGGAAGGTGCTCTACCTGCTCTATACCTAAGCCAATAGTGCGTAGGTATAGAGTCAGTATTTTTTGTCAGATGGAGATAGCCGTATTTTTTTATCAAATGGTCAGTATTTTTTGACAAATGGAGATAGCACAATGGGAATGAGAAATAGATTGTAGGAAAATGGCATGGGTAGTTTCTCAGAAAACAGAACAACAGGTATAGATGACTCATGAAATGTATAGGAAGAA